TGAGACGGTGGAAAGTGTGGTCAGGGGGCGTCCTATAATTCTTATATTAACCAAAATCTGCACTGTGCATAGTTTGTTGTTGTACATCGAAATATATAGAGTTTCTCAGGTGCAAATCACCACTAAAAATGTGTCTATGTTTCAATAAAAGAAGAGTCTTACTTCTTGTTCTGCTTGAATCTTTTGGGGAAACAACTTTCTCTGAACACTCATCGTGGCCCAGACTTCATCGATCATTGCATTTTAGAATTTGAAAATTTACACAGAAACTCTACATATCTTTCAGAATTGAATATTTGGCCTTTTCATACAGGATACGCAACATTTTGGACGATACACTACATAAACCATCAAGACATCAGTCCTAAGTCCAAGACCCTCAAAGACTTAGTTAAGGTTGTTTCTCAGTGTCAAGGAAAGAAGTTACAGTTATTGTATTTTCTGGATTATAAGTCGCACCTTTTTCATCCTTTGGCTACGTTTGCGAATTATATCTTAAGAACATAATAATTTCACCTCTTTCTTTGTTTCACACAAACACCCGCTTGCAATTTAGTCTCCGCAACAACGTATAGATGTTTTTTTCTTCTTCATTATGCTTTTATCCGGAGCGACGTACATATATTTCTCTCTTCTTCATTATTCTTTTTTTTGGCTGGTTGCAACTTATCGTCCAGAAAATACAATACATTTTAAACATTTCAACACAATTCAAGCTTGAAATCTGATATGTAGAGAGCAGTACGAGTGTTACACATCCCCAGAAAGTGACTCACTTCACCTCCATTCATACATCCCTCTCCCAGACACATTACATTTACATTTTTCTTTTTTCTGTGCACTTACATGACGGTCATCTGTAACGGTTTACTTCTGATCAGTAAAAGACAATCAAACAAACTGACAAACAAAACTAAAACAAAAACTGCGCACAATAAAGTCTATTTTGAGTTGTCAGTTTTTATTTCTGTGCTTCTCTTATGAAACAGTTACATTAGCATTAGCATACTGGTGCTTCAGGAACAGAACTTTAGCTACAAAGAAAAGAAGAGTTTTAAGAAAAACATAAAAAAAAAACTGTTTTTTTCCCTCTCCGTGTCATCCATCTACTTACATCATACAGCATGATTACAAATGCAAACTTCAAACTGACTACATGTCTTACCGTCAACGTAATAAAACACTACATAATATCGTTAAAGAGCCTACAGAAGCACCTTCTACAACTAACTCATCTGAAAATAACTTCATAATTTCATACTTCCTGCCTATAACATAAATAAATAACATAAAATTGTTCACAAAAACTCTACGATTACATAATACTAAAAGACGCATTTTTTTATTTGGCAAATTCTACTCGTTCTGGTGTCTAGGACTGAACGTACGATCACAGCTCTGCATCAGGGATCGTGTGCTACATGGTCGTGACTGTGGAAAGGCAGGTAAAAATGAACGATGTCAGCCAGACTCTGCAGGGCATCAAAAGTCACTGCAAACAAGAAGTAGGTTGGCAGCAGCCACGTGAGGCTGAAGACGCAGTCTCCCACTGGCAGAGGGACACCAATGTGTCTACATCAACAAAGAGAGGGGGAGCGCGGTTACAGACGTAAACTGATAATAAATTATCAGTTATTATCGTTATTCATTACAACGATCAAATCTGTCTGAAACCTTTTTTTCGATGGTGTCAAACAATTTGTCTTTGTCTAACTTCAGTCATAGGCAGAAAAAGAAAATCTTTGTTCCACTAGGTGGCAGCAGATAGCTATCAAAACAAAAACAAAGAGACTGCTACTTTTATTTTTCTTGTCTTTCTTCAATTACTGTGACTACCATTGTGTTTCACTAAATAAGACCAGATTTTACACTACTAAAGTACATTGAATCTACACGTACAACTGCTTCCATAGCGTACCGGTTAGCACACCTGACTTGCAAGCACAGGAATCACATGTGGCAGCCTGTGAGTTGCAACCACATACTTAATAGCACTTGAACTTCGCTTTAATTTAAACACCACTTTTTGAAGTGTAAAAACACAAAAACACACAACCAAAACAATAGGTTGGACTCACTGGTATCGATCTTCTCTGGACTCTCTCAGCATGATGAAAATAAACAGACCCACTTCAGTGTTGAGAGAGAACGACACCACTTTATCCAGAATGACCACAAAACCCTGAAAACCACAAGCACAGACATCAGTTCTACAGTTCCACCGGAGAGTGTGTGTTGGCTGGTTGTTATATTAGGACATTACTGTGAAGACACTCTGTCCTTGTGTGGACAGCTGCTAGTCAAGATGTTGGTATTACAATTAGAGTTAAAGTTCACGGTCACACATGTATTGAACCTGTTATACATGTCTGGTTGAAGCTTAACACAACACAAACGTCAGTGATTCCTGTGTGTGTGTGTGTGTGTGTTTGTGTTTTTACCTTAGGATCGAACACCGACACAATGAAAATGACAACAAAGGCCAACAGCGATGCCAATCCTTTGACTGTACTGAAATAAAAAAAATAAAATCTAACTTTCATTAGTCCAAATGTAACTTTGGCATGTGATTTTATCAACACTTATTTCCCTGAGACACCTGTTTAGCTAATAAAACCATGTTAATTTACATACTAATACAGGACCTGTGGTGTTTGCACTACAAGTAAGAATGGATTTTGAGGCTCAAAAAACACCAACATCCAAATGGCTTAATGAATTAACTTTATATACATACATATATATATGTACACATATATATATATACATACATATATACATATATTTATATATATATGTGTAAAATGTATTTATATGTATATATATGTATACACACATATATATGTTACATGTACAACAATATACCATACAATTTCATTTGTATTTTCACTGTTAAAATACATAATACTACACAGTACATAATACATTCTTGATATATGATGTGTCCCTTCTATGACTATATCAGTGGGAAGTTCTAAAATTCCACTGGTTTCCTTTACCTTCTTGCCGTGCACATTTGATGTCTGTTCATCTGGTTATTCTCTAAGGCTGTGGAGAGCCACTGGATGTTTTTGCTAAAACACGAGCTCACCAGACCATCAACTGCGAAAACACAACAAACACATACACGACACAACTCTATGACATATATGTTGTCATAATTCCATGATAGAACAGAGTCCATTACTTATCCCACAATGGGGACATTTACAGTGTGAGTCTTTGCAATGGACACAGGTGGCCACAGAAGGCGCCAATAGGGATACGTGCTTTATGTATGTATGATAATCACAGCGTTGTTTTACTCTTTTTGAGGTGTTGCTTTTACTCTTCATTTCCGTGTTATCATCTTGAACGGTCAGTGCAAGAACACACAGCCTTGCTGATTATTTATCTCTAAATGTGCTACTCCTGTCGGGACGGAGTGATGCTCACTCAACCTGTGCCAGCAGAACACAATACAAGTGCCAAACTTACTGGTGTGTTTCATGGCAGATCCCATCACCAGGAAGGACACACTGACACTGATGGCAATAAACACCTGGATCAGCTGGGCCACCCAGGCATAGGACTTGTACCGTTCACTGATAATCTATAGGGTGAGAGTGGACGGAGCAGAAAATAACAACATGTAAAGTGTCATATACTGCAATTTAGTAGCATTATAGTACATATATAGGTATGTGTGTTTCTCATTTAATTACATGATTCGATTTTTTTTCGATTTTTTTTTTCTCAGAACTTTGATGGCAAAATGTTGCATTTCTACATTGTGTAATTTCTAGTTTTAACATGCCTGAAATCATTGTCTGTATGACCATTTATATCATATTTATAAACATTACTTTTCTGTCATGTCCCCCGCGAATTAAAGTACTATTAAAAACCTGATAACATGTATTTTTTTATCTGTACAAACCACTGTATGAGTTGCTGCCACCTAGTGACTGGAGGCTAGTTATCATTCAAGCTTTACACCACTGGTACACTCCATTGGAAGCTCCTCACCCGACCCCCCCAGAGGTGCCCTCCCCCACTATTTCTGAAGCACTGAACTAAACAAACTAAACAGCATTGTGACCAAAGTTCAAATATAACATGAATATCTTCAGTCCAGAGATTCATTTCAGCTGTTCAATTGCTCCTGTCTGGCCTGATGGTTTTGTGAGATTATGATAAAAACAGAAACAGAAAACAAAGTGTTTCAGTGGCGAAACAATCAGCTGAGAATAAACTAGTCTTAGCAAATCTTACCTTAGTCAGAGGAATGGTTGCAATCTCACCGGCTTTCTCTGACCTGAGAGAAAAAGAAGGACGCATGAAGAGAGGTTAAACAACATATTTCATATCTCACTTCCACTGCCTTTTATATTACATCTGTTTTTACATTTCTCACGTTTCATCATTTTTATATGACCCTAAACTGATGTACTTGTATGTATAAGGAAAATACAAAGTTAATTAACAGAATAAAGACGTATTTGTTTTAAAAGCGCGCTCTGTTCCTTTCTATTTACATCTGTTGTTTTGTTCTCGGCTCTGAATTTATATCCATTTACAGACATTAAAATAGACACTGGGAACTTCTCTCCAGGGAGTGAGTGTGTGTGTGTGTGTGTAGGATGCTGGGGGATAGCGAGGGTATTGTCCTAAATATTAAATGAGCCACAAATGCTGGTAAAACATTTGGCAGTCCAGGGCTAACACTATGAATCAGTGTTTCCCTTTAAACTCTAATTTTCCCATTTATCTGCACTTGCTGTTTGGTAGATTTTATTATCTGTTTCCTTCCACCGTGGCCAACATAAGGCAAATATGAAGCCAAGTATGCAAGGATTCCAGTTCACTGTAATAGCAGCAGGAAGAACAGGAGGAGGAGGAGAAGGAGGAGGAGGAGGCTGACGTTGTTCTTCATGAACATGGCAATGGGACAGTTTCAGTTCAGAAACTGCTTATTTAAGCAGATGCTGATACAGATAACTTTCTTCTAATAAACCTCGAGAGCTGAAGAAAAATGACCATATCATTTAAACACAGCATAACCAGTTCAGTACGACAACAAATATCCATCTGTCATCGCGACAGATGAAGAGTTTAGTACCATATCCACAACTCTTACAGGCCCCACAGAGATAACATACTTTATGAACAATAACATTTAAATTAATTACTACATTAATAAACAATACATGATATACATAAGCAATAAATAATATGCAATACTATAAAAGACAACTATCCTCAACTTGCGGCTCACAGGCCAAATCCAGCTCGCTGAACCATCCAATCTGGGCCGCAACTGCATTCTGAAATAAATGTCAATTTTAATTTTTTTTTTTATCCAGAAAAATTCAAACCATGCTCACCCAGAGTTCTGGATGTTCCTTCCCTACTTTTAAATTAATGAATTCAATAGTTTACCTGTCACATGCTCTGTTCTAAACCCACACTAAACTACATTCAAAGCCTGACTTGCATAACACATCATGCATGCACCATTAAAACAGGACAATAAATACACAGAAAATAACATATATTTCTGCAAAATAATGAACAACTGGATGGATTACCATTTTTCTTCTCTTCATATTAACAATTAAAATATTCTTTTACCGTTTCTGTAACTCTTAAGCAACATAGTCATTTAACGCAGCGACTGAAAAACGCACTTTATACATCTATATATACAGTATATTAGTGATATCCTCTTCTATACTACACGGTAGTTGCGTTCCAAAACCCACCACGAAAAAAGAAAATCCGCGAACTACTGGCGACATAGTTACTATATTATTTACATATATATTTACCCTTTACGAAACTCTCCCCCACACTGTTACTATAGAGGGTACTATGTACAACTATATGCACGTTAGACTTGTATACTGGAAATAGAAGATCTTCAAATAGCACTTGCCCACATGGCCGATAACACCTACGTAATGCAACTCTTTACAAGTCTCGGATTCTCTATTAACAGCTACAGCACAAATACAACATCCAGCCATGTCCATCATCGCCTACGGTTTAGCAAGTCTTTGAGAATTTCCAATATTTGTACAGCTACAGTGAGTCTAAAACAAAAACAAAAACCCAAAACATTTTGCCAAACAAACCCACTCCTTGTCCACACATATTTATTACCATCATCCCATTTTCACAGCACACAGCTGCGCTCAAAACTCGAGAAGAAGATGTATGATAATGATACTTCGAGATACTGTATAAAGCTGTATAACCAAGTCCTTCACATCAGAAGTATTTTTCATAGGTGAAAAATAGCAGTCTCCCACTGGGGGGCAATAACGCTCTATCTTCGTACTGCTGTAAAGGCAAGCGCAGACTACAGTCACAGAGGTTGTCTGAACCATGTGGGTCATAGAAGTGAGGAACAGCGCGCAGGGATTGGACTGGGTTTGGGGGAGAGGAGGAGCAGGAAGAACACGAAAGGGAGGGAGGGAGGGAGGGAAAAAGTGGAGGAGGGGAAGAAACACAGAAATAAAAATTAATGCAGAGCAATCAGAATGAATAATGGTTGTTCTGCAAATCAGAGGCATGAGAAAAGATTTAATGGGAAAGGACAGCCTGAGCTAGGGAGCTATTACAATTCAAGGATGCCTTTAAACAATTTCACTTTCAGCTCCGAACACTTTGATGGTGCACGGTCTCATGTGTCTCTGCCCATGTATCATCACTGTCACCGTGTGTCGTCTTAAAAGCATGCTCTACAATTCTAATGAGAAATAGCTAACTTTATTTCAGGAAGGAAAATGCTCTTCCGTTTTTTTATCGTCTTGGAATGTTGATGTGTGGATGACAATCAAACAGAAACGTGTACCTGTTGATTTATTCAGAACTGCTAAAACAAACGGATGCTCTATGCTGTAAAACTACGTAAAACAATACTTTGACGAGAGGCGGTACCGTTACTGACTGTTGCTGAGGGTTTTTTTTTTTTTGTGATATTTCTGACCATAATGTTTATTTGGATATAAAATGACCTAATTGGAATTGTATAACATATTTTATCAATGTATTTGTAGCCAAATTTGGGACATATCTTCGCATTTTCAAGCAAATACGTATGGTCATTTGAAAAGTACCTTTTGATATGACGGGCAAGAATCTACAAAAAAATGCTGCGGATTCTCAAATCACATTTTTTAACACGTAATGTCTATATTTAAATTCACATTAATGGCGTATATTCGCCTCTTTAATGCACCAGCATAAATGTAGATCTTTAAAAAAACATCTGATATAACTTGTTACTTCACTGGATGATTTTTGACATTTACTGTATTTTCCGGTCGCTCCAAAATATAAGGCACACCAGCTAAAACATGCCCAATGAAGAAGAAAAAACCAATATAAAAACCATATATAAGTCGCTCTGAAGTCGCACCGGGGCCCTCTAGTGGCAGTCAGTGTGAAAATAACGAACATGAAAAGTTCCAGTGGTACAGAAGTAGCAGATACTGGTACAGAAGCCTACAGTGCCCTCTACTGGTTCAGTGTGAAAATAACAAAAGTGAAATTATATATTTTATTATAAAAGTCACATCTGAGTATAAGTCGCAAACCGAGCCAAAGGATGAAGAAAAGTGCGACTTATAGTCCGGAAATTTTGGTCAGTGGCATCCATATGCGGATTGCAACTAAAAAAGGTAAGATAAAAGTTTCATGCGGCCACTTACAGCAGCATGAAATTAAAGCATCCCGACTGCACTCTGCTAACACACTTCTGCTTTGCCATACATTTACTAGAAACACATAGTTTAAATGCTCCAAATATTACTTGTTTGTTACTACAACAATAATAACACATCTACTTCTGTTTCCACAAAGGGTTTACAGAAGTAAAAACCATGAAATTGGACATCAAAATAAGGGTGTAAACACTTACTCATCCAATGAAATGTTAGAGTACAGCATAACTTTAGACGATGTTTGGGGTCCTCGCAGGCTACCAGTGAGATTCTGCGAAGTCGTCTCCAGTGTCTCATGCCTCTGTTGCGATGAAGTCTGAGGAACTATTTCCAGCACTGCCCAGCACCTGAAACATACAAACAAAGAATGATTAAACCAAAGAGGTGAATTGGGAGCAACTACCAATGTGTAACAAAGAGGTTACACTATAATGTATGTCGCTCTTATGACTTTGGTGGTTCAAATCCTTTTACCAGTACGCCTTAGTCCTTAATACTAATTACAGGTTCCTTGGTTTATACATTTGCCTGACTACCAAATATGTCGTCACACGGCGCTACACGTACAATACAGCTTTGTTTACATTTGTCGTCGAGGCCGTACATTGGATTGTGCTACATTCGCTTTCTTTGGTTTGTGTCGTTTTTCTGTCAACTTCTTGTCCTTCATTATACCTCCCTTGCCAAGTAAGTCAGACTCGACTGATCTTTTGGTTTCCTATATCATGACGCTACCACTGTGTTAGCGTAGCTGAGTGACAAAGGTACTTATACACAGTAGTTCCGGATTATGGAGTAGCGTCGTGCTGTAACAACGGACTTCCGATAACAGTCTGATAAGCCAACTTCTTGCAGTTTAAAAATATATATTTATATATAATATATTTTCATATTGATGTTCTTATATGACACTTTTTTTAACCTGAATATGCGGGAGAACTCGATTGAAATACTACTGAAAAATTTTTTTTTTCTTTTTTTTTGTTTTTCAACATTCATTTACACACATCATATGACTAACTTTGTATAAACATCACCACCTCCGACATCACTACATTGCAAACCACACCTTGTGAGTCATCATATCCGTATACTGTAGTAAGAACATATATACTACGTGTGTAATGACCACCAGGCACATCACAGAGACAAAGCATCATGAATCCATGGAAAAGCACCAGAACCTATTTCCTACTTTTTCTAACATATGTACTTGCCCTGAAATTTTGTTGAAGCAGCTTGAATATATTTTGCATAGTTATAACATATGAATCAAATAGATACGTAATCTTTTACACAAGGACAAAAAACAAGATCACTATTGAAATTGAAACATCATGAGGATTCAGAAATGATCATTTGTCATGAAAATACCACAGCCTATAATCTTTAGTAGGACACACACACACACACACACACACACACACACACTCACAACCACACACAATTGCTTAGTCACCACTGGCAGGGGGCTGCAATAATCAACATTTTTATTTGAACAATGGATCAAATAAATGTGGTGTAATGTGAACAAGCCACAAAGAATGATCACCCGTCTCTCTGCAAATCTTCAAGACCTTCACAGTGTTTTAGCAATGTTCACTTCGCTGTGTATGCTTTATGGCACCAAACTTTATGGCTATGATTCAGTCCCGCTGGCCTCTCAATATTCCTGAATTATATCAAATACGGAACTTAACAGAGATTTTTATTATACATACAGGCTAATTTCTGGGTAAAAATGAGATGACAATACATATTTACGTACATATATATATTTACTGGGACAACTGCTGTATAACTGGGATTAAATTAAACATTAAGGTTTTTTAGAAAGACAATTTAAATGGAGTAGTACAGTAGATTTTTGTTGTACACAAGCCTAGACTTCTGACACTTGCCTTGGAAGCTGAGAGAACGTAGTCCTGGCTTTGATTCCCTGCCTGTTGCATAATATTTATTTATTTATTTATTTTTAAATAAACAGCAAGTGTCATCCCTTCTTCTTTAACCTGTGATTTTATTTACTGCACAAACTAAACAACCAATTCTCTCTAGTTGTGCAAATGTGTACTTTCTTCAACTTTTACACACAGAAATAGACCACACATGCAGTCTAAACCATTTAGTGTTTATGCATCAATATTCCACAACAAATGAAATGTTGTTCTTCAGATTCCATTGGTTGCTTTAAACTGCCATTAATGAAATTATCATGCAAAACAATACAATAAAAGAACATTCAGAAAAAGAACAATTTATGAATGCTCTGCGGCATTAGCACATTCCTCAAGATTAGCAACAGTTACATGACTCATGTGTCACATGACCCAAAGCTACTCCTCCATCATATTAACCTATTCTTCTTCAAGTATCCAAACTTGACCTTCATTTCTCAAACATTTATATCAGGACTTCTTGCCAAATCCTAAGGAAAGCCTAAGGAAAGCGCAGCTGTATGGTGACATCAAGTCAACAAATTATTATTTATTAATTATTTACATTGATTTATCCATCCATCCATCCATTATTTACTGCTTATTCCTTGCAAGGCCAGCTGTCATAAGGCGCTGGCGCTCCATATAAAAGGCTGTGTACACATCGCACCTCTAGTCAATTAAGAGTGTACAATGTAAGCCTAAAACACTCATAATATGTTTGCGTCATTCCTTGGCCATGTCCCCTAGAAAATAAAAAGTAGACCCTCTAACTATCGAATACTGTTAAATAATCATGATGACTCAAAACATTACAAAACATTAGTCAATAGGGAACAAAAGCCACTCTCAACCAAGTGTCCCTTTATCTTTACATGTTGTATCATTGCTTAATTTATCATTGTCCTCACATGAAAAAAACTCAGATCATTCAATGACTCGCTTTCCACTGATCAGGGATCAAACCGATGAGATTCTAGTTGTAAGGCAAGCAATCTAACCACATCTTCCCCATAAACAAAATGATTCCCTTATTTGTCCCACAATAAAGAAATTCATATTGTGAGTCTTTCAACCCAACAAGCTGCCATACGGTAAGCACCATCAATGACCTTCACTGTGTAAGGCACGTACGTACCATCAGTATCGCAAAATTATTTTTTATAATATCACTGAAACTGCAAAACCTAACGTGTCCTTGTAGCCATCTTGTTTCTTCTGTGCCTGTAAAGCTGCGCAAATTCTTTACAAAAAAAATGGCGGCTCTCAAATTCGACCTTTAAGCAAACCATGAGTTCATAAATCGACAGATATTCACAATTACAGTACCGAGATCAAACGAGGCCAACTCAAGTTCAGAAAAGTTTCTAATTAGATTTCTGGGAACAATATAAGAGAGACTGCTCTGGCGTGCTTCCTCTTTTATTAGCAGATCAGACATGCAGATTAAGGTGGAAGATTATGACAGACCGACACAGTCTGCTACTAGGCAGAAACAACCTTTCAAGATTGTCAAGTTATTTTAGCTTGGCAGGAGTTGGCCTGATAGTCCCTCGGGTACAACAATTCTAGTAAGGTTTTTTAAAAACAAAACTGGGAGACTGGGAAACAGAGTGTGAATCACAAGTTCTTTGTTTGAAACCAAGGCCATAAAGTTTGCCTGCAGGAGAGAGAAATTGATTCACCTACTAGTAAATTCTCTCTCCTCTCTACAGCAGTGGCTGTTGGCCTCTTTGAATCGGCAGTGCAGAGTGCAGCACCGGGAGATTTATCCATTCATTTGTTGTGGCCACGGTCCAATGCACCCGACAACACACCATTTCTATTTTATTCTACTAGTCTTTTACCTTGCCGGGTGGCTCAGCAGAATTATGTCTCCAAATGTAATTATCAATCAAAATTATGGTTTGAAAAATTGAGGCGAGGGAAACTGCTTACAGGGATGTCAAGCATGAACTTGACCCCAAAAAGAGGAGAGGGAGAGAGAGGGAAGGAAACAGACACAGTGTGTAAGGGAGCGAGAGGATGCAGAGCAGTGGCAACTGAAATGTGACTCATTGTGAACTTACAGTAGGGCACAGTGCGACATCTTCCTAATTAATACAATTTGAAAAAGATACACAAACAAAGGGTTAAAACTCAAATGCAAACCATGTCCTCTAAAATACTGCATTCATCATGATCAGGGAATTACCTAAAAGATGAAGTTATTAATATGGAAAAATGTCAAGAACAAGTCAAGGTCTTCCTTCTCAGAGTTGGTCCGTTAAAGTTATTTTCTACGCGCAATTTGACAGTGGCTTGTAAAACGTGTGGAGCGTTGCTTTGACAAAATCTAGTGAAGATTTTGTCCTTAGCAATAATAATTGGTCTGCTGTCCTTCACAAATACAATTCTTTTTTGAGTTTGTCTGGCAACTTCTACAACAACCTAAAAATACCATTTGTCATGAAAAAAAAAACATCCAAGCACTTAAGCAAACGTTGATATCAAGGACTTCCTCTTTTAAATTCTGGTACTTTTTATGATGTTTTTTTTTTTTCAATTTTGGGAAAAGAAATAGAATTGGTTGGGTAAACAAACCTAATTCAATATAATGTGTATCACAAAATTTTTTCTATATTTTACGACATAAGGTTGACACCTTATACAATAGTCAAATCTGTCTAACAATTTTTTTTACCTCTAAGCTGCTAATCCCCGTCACTATTATAGGCATACTGTCTATAACGAGCAACTGTTGTAGTATTTGCCATATTTACTACGACTACAAACTAATTGGTTCGACTGACATTTTGAATTATGTTGCACACATTCCAACCAAAGCAAAGTGAATGGGTCAACAGCGCTCTTCAATAATGCATGACACCGACCAAGTCGGAGTGAAACAGTAATATTTTTGCATTGACAGCATGTGATGGATGTGTTGCATACCTAAAATATCCCAGTGGTTAATGCTGTAACATGTTTCAAGGTGCTGCTGGTGGTGGTAAATAAACAGACAAAAACTAAACAGCACTTCGTGACCATATGAATATTATTCACTCTGTAATATAGGTCACCTTCACACACACACGGTGACGTTTTGTGGTAGCTCAAGGAAACAGGCAGCAATTTTAATGTGACACAGAACCTGGTTATTCCCAATGGAAGAGGGGCTCCCAGAAGCATCGAACACACAATGAACAGCTGGTATACAAAACAGTTCCTCCAAGGCTCACTGTCAGAATCTGAATTACTAAACAGAATTTGGTCTCATGCTAAGAAACACGGAGAAACATATACTACGTTCATTGAAAGCTTATAAGTGTAATCAGCCATTTTAAACGGCAGCTGAGTGTCCATTATCTGCCCATGATAACAGTAAACAAGGATTCAAACATTTTGATGATGTTATAAAACTATTTCTA